TCCAGTTGTCATGTGGGTGGCAGACAGCGAGACAGGTGCATACCAGATGAGGAAAAACCTGGACTGGGCTTCAGGAGACCTGGATGGCATATGTGGCCCTGCCACTAATTGTGACTTCACCCTTGTTTCCTCACCCATGAAAAAGGGGGCTGTGGTAGGTCACCCTGAAAGATTCTCAAGTGACCCCCATGAATGATAGAGCCATGGCCTCCCAGTTCTGTGCACCAGAGCAAGGCAGGCAGAAAGCAACAACCCTGAGCCTTTGAGTGAAATGCTTCAGAGGAGCTCACTCTTTCCAGCCTAGCTGAATAAGATTCCAATAAACATATTGCTGAAATGTTTGTTTCCGGGTGTCATTTTAGACTACAAGTAGCTAAAACAGATCCGGCTCCTATATATAGATGCTGCATTTGGTTGTGTTCTCGGAGGCTTTTATTACTACGCTCCCTGGCTGGCTCCCAGCTGAGCTTTTCCCTCCAGGGATCAGATTTTGGAATCAGAAAATCAGAGAGGATCAGTAACCATATTAAGGGGTCTTTCTCCTTCCCTCTCGCCACTAATGCTCTATACTGCAGGTGAACCCCAATGTGAACTAGCTCCTCCCTTTGCTCAGAAACTCTTAATAATAATGATGACAATGCTAAGGGAAACTGACCAGCCCCACTATGGCAGAAAATACAAGCAAAACAGCCCTGACGTCCTGGGCGTAAAGGAAACATAGTATAATTTGGGATGAAATGAAGTGCAGATTGTCACAAACAGCTCAGTCTTTAGTTAAGAGGACCCAGGACCCTGTGAGGATAGAAGCAAAGAAAGGAGCTAATAAGGGTGGGGCTTTTTGGGGAGGGGGGTGTCTGAATTCTAGTCGTGAATTCTCCAGGGGAAGGTAATGCTGGGCACAAAAAGGTGAATGAAGGAAGATGAAGGTGGGTATCCGAGAAAGAGATGTAGCCAGGGAAGGAGGAGGGAATAGGGGTTTACTTAAAGAGACAATGTTGAACCCTGGCAATCTGACTTGAAAATGTGTCCGATCGCTAAGAGTGAGTCCCTCCACTGTGTGTTTTTGTTTTCTGTGCGTAAAACACAACCTCTGCCCCATTTTATAGGGTCTCCCTTCACCTGCTTCTGTGATTTCTTTATGTTTAACCATCATGGATCTAACTGCCTTCCTGGTCTCCATATTTTATGTGCCTCACCACCTCTTTCTCCTTTTTTCTTCCTCTCTGTCTCATGCTTCCCTCCTCTCTCCTCTGCTTTTCTTTTTCAATCCCTTCTGCTCCCAGACTCTTCCCTTTTCCCCTCGGCCCCCTCCCGTCCCCCCTCCATTTCACGCCTTTCCTCCTCCATCCCTCCCTGCCCCCTCCCTCCTCTCTGCTTTTCCTTCTCTTTCCTCCCTCCTCCCTGTTCCCTTCCTTCTCTTTCCCTCTCGCCCCCTTCTCTCACTCTCCCTTCTTCCCCTTCTCCACTTTGCCACCTCCCATCCCCTCTCCCTCTCCCCCTCTCTTTCATCCTTCCCCTTTCCCTCCCTCTGCCTCTCGGTCCTTGTTTATCTGTAAGCTCCAGTTTCTTGCCTTATAGATTTACCTGCAGAACAAGACACCGCTCCTCTTGCAAAACTGTTTAAGAAATCCATATCCTCTCCCTTCATTCCTTGGGCATTTCAGAAATGATATTCCTTCCCCCAACTACCCCCGTCAAAATAAAATAAATTCAGCCAGCTCCTGCTGTGTGTCCTTAAATCCATTCCCTCTAGCTTCGCTGGTTTGAAAGCCTGTACCCTAGAAGGGGCCTCCTGCATTTGCTGGCAACCCTGCTTGAGTCTGATCGCCACAGATAGTGCTTTGGAGTGAAAAAAGGGGGAAAAACCCTCTCGTTGGAGATTTCAAAACAGATTCTACCAGCTTTCAAATCTGTGCACTTGCAGAGTGGCAGGCTTAGGGGAGAGGAGTGGGGAATTGGGGTGCGGGTGTTTGTCATAAACAAAGAAGCCACAGATTTATATATATATATGTATAAATGTGCGTTTCCTTTGGCATGTTTGGTGTCTTTCTCCCTGGCATCGAGGGTGGGTGCCGTGTAAGTCTGACTTCTCTCACACTTTTGCTAGGGTCTGATATGTGGGTGTATGTCTGTGTGTGTGATGGAATTGAGGAGGGGGTTGTTGTGTTTTTGATCTGATTCACTTGACAGATTATTTGAATCCAGCCCACCTTTCCTTTCCGCACATGTCAAACAGATGGGATCATTGTTAAAAGCCTTGAGAGAGCCGTGGCTGAGCGGTGGGTAAGGCAGGGAGGGGGAAGAGAGGAGGGGACTGAGGGGAGAGAGGGGCACCTTCCAGTAGCTTTGTGTTTTCACATGTTGGAACTGACAGGAGCCCTTCTTCTCCGTGGGGGGGTGTTTGGGGGGCATGGGGCTGATGAGGGGTGGGATGGAAAGGAAAGCGAGAGGTGGGGTGTTGGTGGGCAGGGTTATGATGTCACAGCAAAAGTTACAACAGGAGGAAAACAGAGAAATGGTTCAACATTTTTTTTTTTTAAACTTTGGACTGCCAAGAGCTGAAGGAGAGTGGTGAGCAGAGGAATGAAGGGGAGAGAGAGAGAAACTAAACTGGAAGCTTGAGTTTTGTGTAGCTTCTTGAAACCTTATGAATGGATTACTAGCAGCTGAGAGCCAGGAGGGACCTATAGGGGCTGCAAGATCATTCTCACATTAAAAGGGGGAGAGAAGCACGGCGGGATTCTTCTTCCTTGCTGTGTTATCCCTCCTTCCTGAAATGAATGGTATGAAACCTTTTTCTGAGGGTCGTGGGGGTGGCATGAGGGAGGGGGAAGTTGACTTCTCCTTTTCTTACCTGCGTATCTTCCCTTCATTTAAATTAAGGCTCCTCTCCTTCCTTCCCTCCTTTCTTTCCTGGTTTCTCTCTCTGTGTCTCTGTCTCTTTCTGTCTCTCTGTCTCTCTGCTTTTCTGTCTTTCTCTCCATCTCCCTTTACCCCCTTCCAAAGCCCCAGTCTCTATTGAGCTGCTTCAGGGAGGAAAAAAAACACTGAGTCAGAAAAGTGAAGGGAGATAGGGAAATGATAAAAGGAAGAAGGACAGTCCAGGATTGAGGGATTTCTGTTTAGTAAAATCCACGTGCCTGAATGGATACTGTCTTTGGAGACTTGCTTTGAGGCGCCAGTGGATGCTGCATAGGGAAACAGGGCATGCCGGGGATGGGCTGTTTAGGATACAGCATTTTTAAAGCAAATAGGTCAGTTATTAGCTGGAGTAGAGGAGTTTAAAAGATGATGAGGAGACCCAAGGCAAAGAGGCAGTGTGATCTTACTCCAGACAGTGTGGGCTGCATGTTTTAAATGTGGGCAACACAGCAGTGACTTTAGAAGTGTGAGTGATTTTTCTTTTTATTGAATGAAGGACCCAATATATTTCTCTGCCTGTTTTGTGCCCACCTGTGGTCAAACATCCTTACCTGTGTTGAAAATTCAGAACCGTGCTCTCTGTGTGTGTTTGTGTGCACACACATATTCAGGGGGTGGGACTCTCTGAGATAGCCTGTATCTAGGCAAACATTATTACAGAGGTTAAAATCACATTATTTACTTCCCCATCCTATCCATTCATTTCAAATCAGTTGAAAAAATAGTTGCTTGGGTCTAGCTGTTCATTTTTTTGTAATTTCTTATTTTGAGCATCTCATTTGTTTATTTGCTCACTCAGCATATGGTGACTTTTAGTAACTTCAGAGAAACTTTAGAGAGAATAAGAAGATCTACAAATTCATGGCATTTCCATTTAATGCTTCTTACAGCAGGATAATGATTTCTTCTTTTTCTCAATGTCCAATATAAAGGGAATTTCGGGTATTGTTCTTTTAAATCCCAAATGATTGAAATAAGAAAAAATACAGGGAGTTAGTGGCCAAACAAAAGAAAGAGATGCAAGTGGTCCCTAAAAGGCTATTGTGGATTTATTAGGCAGTAAGCAGGTCTGCTCACAACACATGTGAGTGTGTGTGTGTGTGTGTGTGTGTGAGAGAGAGAGAGAGAGAGAGAGAGAATACACACAGGAAAGAGTGCTCCAAAACAGTATTGATTGTTTGCTATTGATTGTGTAGGCTGCGGCTGCTGAAAGAGAAAGCCCGAGATGTTCACTGGGGAAACCAAGAGTAGCGTCTGTCCCCTGTGCCTGAGTGAGGTGGGGAGGTTTTCAGGAGGAAGGAGGGGACAGGGAGGAGGTGGAGTGATGCACCGAACTTATTAGCTTTGACATCATCATTGTCTTTAAATGAAACAAACAAGAAGATAATTACAGGCAGAGAGAGGGAGAGAAGGGGAGCAGGAGGGACCGGAGAGAACAGGTCCCCTGAAGTATATGCTCTTCTTGCTCTTTTCCATCTTCCCAGGGACCCACAAGCCTCTCTGAAGGTGAAGTCAGCGGCTCTCGGACTCATAAGGTTATCAGTACACCAGACTGGCACCCCAAAGGAGAACTTTACAGAGACTTGCAACACAGCAACAAGTTGGAAGGGGATTAAAAAAAACCTTCAGCTCTCCCAGCCCCAAGCCCCGAGCTGAGGGAGACGTTGTGACCTGCACAGGCAGCCTGGACACTGGATGGGGGTCTGCTGAGGAGGACATCTGCAGAGTGAAAGTTAAGTACCAGCTTGGATTTTTGTGCCCCCGGATTCTATTTGCATTTTTAGATAATAAGCATCAAATTGTGTGTCTCTGTATACAAGTCTAGCAATTTGTTTGAAGGTGAAGGTATTTTATGTTAAGGACTATGAGAGAAGGTACCTCCTAGGGAAGGAAGAAGGAGAGAGGAATGAAAACAAGAGGATAAGGTTCTGTTTAGTGACCTCAGGTGGTGAGGGGATGTGTTTGTGAGTGAGTGTATATCCGAGAGGATTTGGCTCATGCCCCTGTGTCCCTCTTCTACTATCAGGGAGGGAAGGGGCTTGTGAAGAAGGGGGAAGAAAAAGACAGAAACCTGAGCGGTCTGGGAGGAAATTCAAGGAACTCAGAGAAATAAACTTCATTCTGCAGGGACTAAACTAGAGCAAGGAGAAGGAGGTGAAGAGGGAAGGTGAGGGAAGCCCCCACCGTGGGTGAGGCACGGGCGCCGCGCGGGCGCAACCCAGCACAGGTAGCCGGAAGAGGCACTCTTTTGGGGCTGCTTGAAAAAGTTTGGTCTGTGAACAAAACGGCCTCCTTGGTGACTGCAAATCCACCACTAGCTGTCTCTTCCTCTTCTCCCCATCATTCTTGTGTGGTACCCAGAAGCTGACTTCTGGTTCTGTATAAAGAGCTGGGGGAGTTATGATGTGCTTAAAGATCCTGAGAATAAGCCTGGTGATTCTGGCCGGGTGGGCACTCAGTACTGCCGGCTCTGAGCTGGGCTGGACACGCAAGAGATCCCTGGTTCAGAGGGGACACCTGAATCAGGTGCTGTCAGAAGGAGAACGCTGTTGGCTGGGGGCCAAGGTTCAAAGACCCAGAGCTGCTCCCCAGCATCACCTCTTTGGGGTTTACCCCAGCAGGCCTGGGAACTACCTGAGACCCTACCCTGTGGGGGATCAGAGAACCCACCATGCAGGTCATAGTAAGCCAGATGCCAAGGGAGTGGCTGTGAGCCGTGTTCCCCCAGACCCGACTGGAAGTGCCGGAGTGAGGAGTGAGGCTGAGCAGCCTGCTGCCCCTTGGGCAGGGGATGGTCCTATTGGGCAATCGGAGCTGCCGGGACATGATGACACTTATCATGGCGATCCGGGATCTGAGGAATCTCTAGGTGAGGCTGGGATTCAGGAATGCTCAGCCACGGCTGCCACCATTACCAGCAGCTTCGCCAGCCCAAAGGAACCCGAACCAGAGACCCAAAGGAAGGGCCGGGCCAAGACCAGGCGTCGTCGGCAGGTGGCGAAGGGGCAGGCAAAGGGCATGCAGGGAGACCCCAATGTCTCTCCCCGGCATTTCCAACCTTGGCCCAAACATCCCCTTATGCACGGGGTCAGAACCAGTCCATTGGAGGACAGCATCCAGGATGGTGGAGGGGACCCCTACTGGGAAGCAGAGACCTTTAACCCCCAGGGAGGATTGCCTGTCTTGTACTTCTCCGGGAGGCGGGAGCGGCTGCTGCTGCGTCCAGAAGTGCTGGCTGAGATTCCCCGGGAGGAGTTCACGGTGGAAGCCTGGGTGAAACCAGAGGGAGGACAGAACAACCCAGCCATCATAGCAGGTAATAGTCCACTCCTGGGCTTTCCGTGGTCCTCCGGGTATGGCTGACTTCATTTTTGGTTGGGTTAGATGTAGGGGGCAAGGAGGGGACGGGGACAGAGCAGGAAAACCACGAAGGACTGGCTGGGGAGAGAGGGGGAAGAGCCTTATTCATCAGCACAGCAGGAGTCCAGACATCATCCAGATAATGACTCTATAACCACAAGAGCGTTTGTCCCTCGTATTGATCTCATGTGATTCTGCACGTTGTGCTGGCACTTAGGAGACCTCCAGCTCCCTCCCTTACCCCACTTTAAAGGGCAAGATCTCTGGTTCTTTGTCAATAGGGAAGAGGTATCACTCTTCATCATTTCTCGGAGTCCAGTATCAGATACCCAGGCAACTCTGAACCTACGTGAGACCCCAGGGACCTGGGCAGCGAGAGGACAAGGCTGCCAGGTACACAGGCGTTGGGTCCTGACTGGGTCCGTTTTCTTTGCGCAGCCCTGGAACTTAGCAGAAAGCTGCTACTGGTCTAGGTCCTGGGGTCTCCTTTGCTTTTTCCTAACAATCATGTGTCCAGCCTAGGGACAGCAGGGGTGACTAGAGAAGGTGGGTCACAAGCCAGGACCCTAGTTTCTAGCCCTGGCTGTTGTAAGAGGGACCTAAAAATGCACGTTGTATAACTCTATGTTTTAATCAGAGGTAATGTCTGGGAACATTACCCACATTTATTTTCCACTGTACCCAGATCTTGGCTTTCATGAAAAGTCACCGAGAAGGACAAAGAAAGAGTGGGGTTAGGAATAGCGGTCTCCCTTGTCTCACTGAGGGTTTCTAGCAAGGGGTGGGGGATTAGACGTGGTATTTCATCATTTAGTGTCTCATCATGCCTTTGGATCCCCCATGACAGAACCTCGCACAAGACCAGGTACATAGTAGAACCATTTTAATCTTACTAATTTGGGTTATCCACCACACCCCCTGATGTTTGTCGGTCCCGTTCTGTTGATGGGGAAACCAAAGTAATGAGAGGCCTGCCAGGGGGCAGACTGGGAATGGAACCCCAGAGTCCCTGACATGCTTGACAACTCCCCCAGTTAAAAACTCAGGTTGCTGGATGCCTGCAAATAAGTTTCAGACTAGAGAAAGAAATCTAGAAGGAGGGAGCCTCTTTCGATGGAGTGTTGCTGGAACATCCCTTCCGGACACGCTGTCGCCCCCTCTTTGGCTGTGATTTCTCCTTTGGAAGCTGGGATTCCCAGACACTGAGCACTCTCGAGTCTTGTGGTCTTGCTTTCCTTTATCTTTGGGTGGGAGAGGGGGTGAGGGAAGGGGAGAGAGAAGAAGGAGCTGGGCTGTAAGATAGGTGGGGGTAGAGAAAGAGTAGAAGGAAATCCTTATTCTGGGGCCAAATGGAAGAAATAATGAGATGATTATCTGATCAGAGTTGGCAGCTTCACAGTTTTTCCCAGATGACATCTTCTTGCTGCCTAATCTCGCTTCCTAGTACCCATCTGCCAGGGAAACTGTGTGCTTGCAGTCTAGACGGAGACCCACGGCTCCGCTTATCCCTCCTCTTGCAGTAGCAATGTGGGGACCTGGGATTAGTTTCCTGGCTGTGAAGAATTAGGGAAGGATTCAGCAGGAATACATGAGGGAGGCTCTTAGAGACTATTGCTGTGGGTTGTACAAACCCAAACCTGGGGTACCCAGCCCCTGTCCTGTCCCTTCCATGACCCTCTGTCTCATGACCTGCACGGAGGAGAGCAGCATCATGATTTGATTCTAGCTTCAGCATTGCTTGTGAACCTGCCCACCCCTTCCCCCAGTACATCTCCCTCCTTGCCCACCTGGCCCCACGAGCCACCAGCCCCCAGCTTGCATCAGCACACACACTCAGATCCCTCTCCAGAGTGCCCATCTGAACTCTCTTAACCTCCCTGAGCATGTAAAATTAGGCGGGAAATCTTTTGCAGACAAGTCTAGCTTCTGAGGTTTCTTCCTCTCAAATCAAAGTGGCCCCGGTGGGGTACTGGTATTTCCCCTGTAGGTCCACACCAGGGTGAAGGCAGGGAATACCCAGGTCTGTCTACTTTCCGTCTTCCACCCTATATCTTTTTTCAGACTTGTGCACATCAGAAAATATTCAGGAGAGGTTTAGGGTAAAAGTCTGCGAAAGATGGAGCTGGGAACAAGGTCTGCATTCTTCAGGATTCTGGCAGCCGGGCTCCCGAGGGCATAGGCGTCCTTGTCTGCTCATTGTGCTTCGCTCCTTGCACTTCACCTGTGGCGCCGTGGCTGAGCCCCATGAGGTGGACAAAGGCAGTCCCCTCAGGAGTGAAGGTCTCCGATTGCCACTGACTCACTTGCTCCTATCAGCAGAGCAGCCGTCTTCCCTCTCACCCTGGCACTGGTCCTTTAGCTGGTCACTGCCTGTTCCTGGGACGGTTGGCCTTCATGCATGGGGAACGACAGTTGAATCGTGTTCCTGGGAGCTAAATACAATTCAGCAGTTGTAGTTCTGAGGATATTCCAATGAGGATGAGCCAAGGTGCTGCAAGACGTGGCTCCCACGCTCTTTTCCAACAGCTCTCAAACCTCAGCTTCTACTACTTAACTTAGACTCGGTTTCCCAGTTCTCAATCCCCCAAACTTGGCGCATTTTCTCCTCAGCAGAGACATCCAGCAGTTCAGCCATACCAGCCATTGTAGAGGAACCCCCCTGAGATGTGGGGCCTTAGGGAATACTTCCCACACGGGCCACTAGGTGGCAGTGTTGCTTCATGCACAGGAGAGGCGGCATCTCTTTGGAAGCCACATTGCGGGGAATGTGTCTGGTTCCTTGGAGGGCTGTCCCTGCCTTGGCCTCTGGGCTGTATTTAATCGTTCCCTCCCAGGCCGTTGTTGGTAGGCATCCCTTAGGGTCAGCTCCATACAAGACTTTTTGCAGGGCCTATGTGAAAGGGCTCAAGTGGTATTTTGGGGTTGTGACTAACTTGCACTTGTAGCAACTAGTAAAGAAAACAAAATCAGCTAGAGTTACCTCCCCCCTCCACCCCAAACTCTTACATTCTTCCAAAATAGGAAGTGGGACTCCAGAATGGATTTCCGGAATACTTTTATTTAGGGCCAGGGACAGCGCAGGCCTCACAGACTTTAGGTGCTGGGATTCTCTCCGGCCCCTAGAGGGGGAGCGATGGTGCCGGGCCGCCTGCAAGTTAGACCTTCAAAAGTTGCCTGTTTCCTGTAGCTCTGAAGCAGGGCAGCTGAGCCCTAGGAAAGGACTGCGTGCAACTGCTCCAGTGTAGGGCCTCTGTAAAAGTAACTACTCAGGAGCCTGGCAATTGAGGGATGTGTGGCCACTGAGGAGTAGCCTGAGGTCAGGAGCCCATTTGGATGGGCCATTAGAACTCAGCAGTGGACATATGCCAAATTCTGTCCCATCCTGGTGTGAAATCCTTAAGCTCCAGCATCCCACCCTGAAACCATCGTGTTCCTTTCCTTCTTAATTTCCTTCCCTCTCCTTCAACCCCAACATACACAGAAAAGAAACTTTTAATAGGTTCCTCCTCACCCGTAATTGATTTCAAATGTTCCCTGAAGTTGTGCAGCTGAGTAACCACCTGCAGCTCCAAGTTGCAGGAGACTGAGTCAGTAAGTCCAGGGCAGAACTGGAGCCTGAGCCCATGTTTCTTCATTCAACAAATATTTATTGAGTGCCTTGCCATACAAAGCACAGCAAGGCCCCGCGGGGAATACAAAGACGTCTAAGGAACTGTCCGTGACCTGAAGACGAGCTTTCCTTCTCTGAGAATCCACGTTTGAGAGCGGATCTCAGTGCAGAAATTGGGAGTCAGACAGTGCTGGAATCATATCCCATCTCTGATACTTGTCGGTGCTGCAATCTTTGGCAATGTATTGAACTTTTCTGAGCTTTGGTTTCTTCAAAGCAAGAAATGAGATAATGTCTTGCTGAGTTGTTACCATGTTTAAATAAGTCAGGTATGAGAGTGCCCAACACAGAGCTTGACCCGTGGTGTTTATTTATGACGTGGCATTGACGGCGGGAGGCCATCATTACTGAGAGCAGTGTGTTAACCTACTCATCTTTGGTTCTAACCCGCTAACCTATACTTTTTCCTTAGCTGGGATATTAACTTTAATTTCCTAGGAATTTAGTTTGCTGATCTGTAAAATAGGAATGGTGGTAGATATGATTTTTCACAAGATGGTCTCAAGATGATTGAGAACACTGCAGAATCAGAGGCCTGAAAGGAGTCTACTTTTTTTTTTTTAATCATTTGTTCTTTTTAACCTGGGCAGTACTATTTTGAATAAATTGCACAGTGGTACCAAAGCTTTTTTAGGGTGACAAACCCTTTTGAGAATCTGATGGAAGCTGTGCTCACTCCCCAGAAAAATGTACATGTTCACATAGTTTACATAACTTTCAGCAGTTCACATAGTCTTACATAACTTTCTGGATTTCCTGATGGCCAGCGTCTGTTGACCTTAGGCTTAAAGCCCCTTATTTAGGGCACATTGATGGCTTTTTTTTGTTTGGTATGACATCTAAGAAATGAAATTTCATAGGGAGCTGCGACATCCGCTTCTCCCGATGAGGGAGCTGCGTACTGACGGTGGAGAGTTGGTCCGTGTGGAGTAGGGAGCCTCACAGAAGACAGGTTCACAGACACAGAAGTATCAACATAGAAGTAAAGAGCATTTAAAAGGCGAGCCATGTGTGCTCTCTCCCCCTTTATCCAGTAGGACTCAGTGGTGGGTGAAGAGCCACGTCCACACCTTTCCCAGAGCTCCTCTGAAGATAAGGATTCATGACCCTCCTCCTCAGCTGCTTCTTCCTGTATCACAGAAGTGGTCAGTCAGAGTGTTTGCCCTCATGGGACCCTGAGGACTTGCCCATTTTCTTCTACATTATAGCTCTGCTCCCTGATCAGGACCCAGACGTGCAGCGAAGTTGTAGCAACCCTGCCCTTGACATGGAAGAACCATGGATGT